TAATATAAATATTTGTATTATTATTATTTTATATATTTTAATATTTTAATAATAATAATAATATATACTTTTTTAACTTTCCAGGGTGTTGAAGTAAAAATTAATTTCAACTAAGTTAGTGAGAATTTTTTTTTTTTTGACAAAGAAATGAAATGTCCTCAGTTCATCAAAATACAAAATAAGACCATAGAAACTGCTGGATAGAAAAAAAGGACTCTGTAGAGCAGCATCCCCTTTCAGAGGGTGAGCAACAAAAAATATGTATGGAAACCCATAAGAAAAGGAGAACCAAATCCTCCATCTTGCAGTCATCTCTGTCTCAGGAGATTCCCAAACCAGAGATGGTACCCCTTAATTTTTCTTCTCTCTATATAGAGAGAATTCATGGAAATGCCATATATATATATAAATACCCACTAAGAAATCTGCAAAATTTTCATTTCCCTTTCCTGTCTCCCTCCACTACTTGTTGGACACTTACTTGTGGCTCAAGTTCTCCCCGTCGTTTATAAATGGCTTTTTCTCCTGTCAGCCCATCGATGATTTTGGCATCATCCAGCTCCCCAACAGCTTGGTGTCTCAGCCACTGTCTTTCCTTGCCCTTGGCCTACAACAGAAGAGCATCCTTAATTCACTCAATGACATGGGTGTATTTTATGCAATTGAGTACCTCCCAACCAAGACATACAATTAACTTTCTTTGTAATTATGTAATAGTTTTGGCACATGTTAATGAAATTTCATATTGGCCCTGCTCTTTTTCACTGAGAGAGTAATTATCACTGAGAAATAATATATTCCCTCTGTATTTTAAGCCCTTTCACATATGGGAGTTTAATTATGAACTGTGGAAATGTTAGTCTTTTTTCTTGCAAACCAGTGCAGAAATGTATACGGCCAGAGGAACTTGCATATACTGAGCATCTTAAGTTCTCCATCCAAGCAGTGCAAGGAAATAAATGGGGTGACTTAAAAGTAAAACTAAACAGTAATAACCTTTGGTAATAATGGCTTCTTCTAAAACAATATTTAAAATAAACAGTTATACTACTTTAAAATAAACACATTGAAAATTGTATTAATCAAGAGACAATCCATTAAATTCTTCTTTTATTTTTGTTAAAGAAAACTAGTTATTTGACTTGATGAAAATGTGCTACAGTCCAGGAGCTCAAATACTGGTCCAACTACTACACATAGAAGCAAGTGTTGAAGGTTGAAGAATCAAGTTCTTAAGAATATAAACATTATATTTATGAATATTTTCAAAGGACAGTTTCTTCAAGGTTCACACACCACAGTGTATATTTGAAGACAGCAAGGTTTGTTTATGTGGGTTTAATAATTTATTTAATTTCTGCTTAAATCTTCAGCTTAAAGTTGCTCAAACTGGTACGAAGCCCAGGAAGGAAAGATTACTAATTTATATGTGTATAATGCATTTGTGTTCTCAGAAAACTGCAGGTCAGTAGCTGGAGGCAAACCAAATATCCAGCAAGACACAGTGTCATTAGAAACAAGTTCTCATGAATGAAAACTGTTTTGTCTGTGGCAAATCAGAAGCTTTAGTCTTTTTAATATAGTCTTTATAATCTTGTATAGTCTGACTAGTCCGATGACGGTTTATCAAAACCCAGAATGTCTTTGAAATTGTTTTGATCATTTTTGGATGATTTTGCTTTTTTCTGTGTACAGAAAAGGAGTTATGGATGACTGTCTAGTTGCCTGGAGCTTTCTAAGAGTGATGGACTATTTATGAAAAAAAGTGGGCAGAAAAAACACGAAGACACAGGGAAAGCCCTGCAAGTGCTGGAACATATATAGACTCCTAGCAGTTTAAGAACTCAGAGCTGATGTTCTTTCAAGTACTTGGGATTTTTTTCCTCATTTGGAAGGAAGAAACAAGAGAAAACTATGAAAACTCAGTTTCATTGAGCATTCTCAATTAGTTTCACTACTGCTTTCATTGACAAAGCATTCATTTTAAGGGTATATTCTATTCAAGGAAAAGCAGTGTGGGAAGAAAATTATTTTAATGATGGACATAGTTAAAAATCCATCCAACCATGTACTGTCCTCTGAAGCTTGTCTGCTATTTTGCTTATGCAACAATAAATAGTATTGAGCGGAAACTGTATTAGAGGAACACAGAGTCAACATTCTTCTAAAATAGGAGAGCATACGGATAAAATGTGACCTAACCTCTTTGCAAAATAATGTTAACATTATTTAGGCTACTTAACATCTGCCTCTTCCATGTAGACTCTCTAAAAAATTATTCCTTTTTTTTATAAAAGTAGAAAAAAAATCTCCCTAATTATGCGTGCTACACAATGCACACATACATAAAACATAACTTTCAGGGTTTTCCATATATAATTTTCACAAGTTTAAAAGCAACATGGATATTTATAACTTTAAGAGAAAAACAGAACTATCACATTGCTTATTACAAATTGCTTAGAAATTTTATTAAAAAACGCACAATTTATTATTACTGTATTATACTGCCACTGTACTGATGAAAATTATTACCTATATTGCTCATGTTGCTTTCAAAATGAGAAAATGGTGCTAGATACTATCTCTTTTCACAATGGTTGATGAAAATACACCAAAGGCATATTGACAAAACAAACAAACAAACAAAAAAACAAAAACAAAAAAAATGTGAAAAAAACCCTTGTCTATATGAATTAATCACAATGAAATACTTATAATGGTACAGGGTGGTATGAAATACTCCTTGTTCTGGTCTGCATTTGGGTTTTGCTATTTCTACACAAGGCATACTACAAATTTCAGTACTTTGCTGATTTTGCACAAATAGTTTTAAGGGATCAGTGAGTTACACAATAATGAAAAATGAAATAACTATGGATTCAGTTATGAATTATTAAGTTATGAAATATTGTTCTCACTCCTAATTTTTGCATTACTTTTATGAAAGAGCTTATTACAAACATCTCTTCCTGCTACTATCCATTTCTGAGAGATATTAACTACAACTGGACTCAGCCTCTTGACTCTTGCATGTACAGTATAACATAAGAAACATTTAATCCCTTCACCAACCAATTAACAGTAAAAAATACATGTTTGAAAGAAAATACACATTAAACAAGCATGGGTAGCATATTTTCATTATATGAAGACAAGCAGTTTGAAACGAAGCAAACTCAAGCATTCAGTAAGTTTGTTTTTGCATTATAAATACTTTCATTATCTCTGTGGTTAGCTGTTACAGATTTTATCCATGAAATTAATGAAGTTTCATAAAATCACAAGGCTTAGAAGACTTTGCCTTGATATTAAAACGATCTTTTTAACATCAAGCAACAGGATATATCTCCTTATATTCAATTATATTACATTATGATGACCATGATCCCTGCATATGAAAATTTTGATTCCAAAGAATGGATAAGCAAAAAACAAAACAAAAAAAAAACCCTTTACATTGAAGATTCATATTTTGCCCTAGAGTATGCTTCCAAATGAATGTCTGCTAGAAACATGGTACAAACAGGTTGATTATAAATAGCATAGGAAAAACGCATTTATAGCTAAACTTTTGCAGCTCCAAAAGCTCATTACAAACCCAAACCTAACTCCTGATTTGAAATATATGAGCTGCACGGATGAATCAAACTGTATTATTACAGGCCCATCTGCCCATCTTACCTGTCCATTGTACAAAGAGCTCTCCAAGTTGATACATTCATGGTGAAATCAGCTAACATTTGGTGTGTGCACGTGATTATAGCAGCACTGCTGTAGCCACAATTGCATAAGGATATAAATGAGGTCAAAAAAAAATGTTACCTTTCTTATTTTCAGTAACAGGGGACCAGATTTTATGATCCAGGAGGAGATTCTTGACCATATAAGCTTATTTCATTTTTATATTTCATTTTTATTGCTGAAGTAAGGAGATGTATCAGACACTGAACTGTGACTAATCAGTATACTTACATATGTATATTAGTGATTGGTAGCCTTCAACTGAAAAAAGATATCTCTAAGAACCTTCCTTGGAAAGTTTATATGGGACTATATTTGTCCTGACAATGATTAAATATTATTTGCTTTTTATCCTTAAAGGTATCATCACCACACAGTAGCAGAATATTAAAATATAGCAGGGTAATACTTGTGGCATAATGTAATGAGCTCAGCATGTTCCTCTACCAGTGAATCTGTCATTACCTGCAGATTGTCTAGGATGATGCGGAGCGACTGCACTTGTCGTCGAACTGCTCCGGAGAATCTTTCATAAGTAGATGCATCATATTCACTCATCTGAATCTCTTTCAATCTAAAGATAAAATTTGGGAACTAAGAATACATCAGGAAATAAGCATATCATCGATTTTCACATATGTGAATAAGCTTATTTGGTGGTAACAGGAAAATGTAATGACCAAACACAAGATGGATCGAAGTGGTGGCAGCTGCTTTTGTGAATTTTTGAAAGGACAGGCAATTTCCAATGTCTAGAGGGACTGCAACAGATTAAAACATATGAAAGGCTACTAATCCTTTGTCTTTGTCTTAACCTGCTTTAATGTTTGGGAAGAAAATCAGATGCTCTAAAAACTGTAATCAAATTTTGAAGGTTTTATTGCCTCAGGTGTTGCTAAATGCACTTAGATGGATTATCACTTCACTAATCATTACTTCACCAGCAAAATATTCTAAACATACCGTGATCTATGCTTTAACACAAAGGTTAAGTAAAGACATACCCTAAATCCATCCTTGAAGACCTATGACTAGTCATTCTGTCTCAAATACCTATCTTTATGTTTCATAAAATGATGAAACCTTGAAACAAAGAAGCTATGCATGAACATTAAAAAAAAAAGGGATTTCCCACAAAAACAGTTATGTCACTGAGCTACGTGTTCTGTACGGAGGTCTAAGAGAGAGAGTAACATCAGTGCTATAAACCCAGACACAGACTTTTTCTATAAGCTAAGATAAGGTGCGCCCACTTAAAGATCTGTACTGCTCTTATCAACATCATATCTAAGCAGACACTCTTAAACTGATGAAACACAGGACTGGAATGCAATTACAGAGGTCCAAGGTGAAGTATAAGCTAAGGCGCAGATGGCTGTGCAGGGTGTGGGCACTATTTGACATTTGCAGTGACCCAGCATCATGTAACAAGGCAGCAATTGTGTATCTGGCCACCACACCACACCAGCGTGTGGCTGGACTCAGTTCTAAGTTAAGACATATTAGTCTAAGTGTGTATAGCTTATTTTTTGAGTGCAGGCACTTCGTCTCACCGTAAGTCCCCTCACACTGCTTTGAACATACTGATTTTAAGTGCATTGTATACACATACTAATGGTATATCGACTAGTTCAGTTATACTTTTAATGATAAAAAAAAATAATATCATGGCAAGTTACTTGCATGGATCATAAGTTGTACAGGAGAATAAACATTACAGGAAATGTGGTCCAGACCAAATTTACTGTCTATTTTGAGTTATGCATAGACATACTAATTATAGCCAGCTATTACTCATTAGAGGCAGGAAAAGGTAACTTCCCATGCTGCACACTTTAATTTACTTTATGGCTCCTACAAACTGAGCTCTGTATACTTACATCAATGAAGAAAATGTTTTTTTGAAGTATCAAACAAAAAGCCACCTGTGCAGTTTTACTGAGTTGCTAAACTCTGCAAGAATCCACAGAGCAAACTAGTTCAGGAAACTGCTGTGAAAAATACAGTATCTGCTCAGGAGTTTGCTAACTTCAGTCTTCCTAACTTTCACATGTCACTTCAACTACTTGCTAAAAGTTGTCTTCATCATCAAGATGGATGCACTCAAAATGGTATCACCTAGTCTAGTTTGATGCCTATAAGTACAAAATTAACAATTTTCCTTTCACTTTGACAGGCATTTTATTACAAGATTAAGAAAAAAAAAAGCATAAGGTATAATAATGAGTTAAAAACAAAACAGCAAAATTAGAAGAACTAAGTATCTGAGTTTTATACAGACCATTTGAACTTTCCTGAGAGGTCAAAATAACATTTTGGTTTCAGAAGTGGCTTTAGAATACAATGACATAATTCATAAAAAAATGTGCCATGTTTGCCTTAATTATGATGAAATGTGGAAATAATACACTGAGTTGTGTCAGCTTCAGAAAAGTCTCTTTTAAGATAAAAACCTCAGGACACCCTGGAGATTAAATCTGTGGCATGAAGAACAGTAGAATGAACAGATGTGATGTTTATGCTATTGAAACAGCGCAACTTAAAAAGCTTTCAACTATAAGCACTATCTAGCCAGGAAATCAACCAATAGTTCTCATATTAAGACTCTCCCTTCCATACAATTATGCACCAACAAAACAGTAAATTTTGCAGTTCCCCTTATTTTCCCCTTAGTCTGAGGACTCCAACTATCTTTAGTTAACTTCTATCTGCCAGCTCTCACAGCCACCCAAAGAGGCACGGAACAATAACCCAGAACAAACGTGGCTTCAGAATGGGCCACCTTTATTGCTGGGACAGCTTGCTCATCGCTTGGGGCACGTGCAGATACTCAGGTTTTACAGGACACAGTTGCACTCTTTACACAATTAATTTCTACGTACAAAAAATTAATTTCTACATTAATTTCTACATGTAAAAACGAAACAAACAGAAACCCACTGCGCATGGGGAGGAACTAAGCAGTTTTGCCTTTAGATTTTTTATTTAAATTTCTATATGTCACCTGTGTAAATTGAATCACTACTAAAAGATATTTTCCTTTCAGAATCTTTTCTTGGGAAGCTCTGCTATAATCTGTGTTTTCTCCTCATCTTAATTAACCATTAATGCCTTAATGACTTTGTTAAATACTGTAGGCAATTTAGTAATAAAAACATGATTAAAAAAGAAACTTAAACCTGAATGTAATAGCTACCCTGCTGTTTTAAAATACAATGATTCATATATAATGTATGTGCTGTGCTTTAAAATCTATTTATTTATTCATAAAGTAAATGATAATCTTTCTTGCACCTAATAGTTCCCAAATTTACACCCCTCACTGGAAACCAAACAGCAAATCATGAGTTTCTGATTTAACAGCAAATCATGAGTTCCTGATTAAGACACTTCTGAATTCGGTCACTCTTATGTTTTAATCTGCTAGTACTGCTTCAGACAGATGCTCACACAGTCATATGTTTTGCGTTGAAATTGTGAAACTTACTTTGAATGACTGTCAATACACTTAGCTTTTGTTCTGCAAAGTATCAGTTTCCCGTTAGAGTTTTATCAGTGGAAGGAGTCGGAATCTCTGTGCAGAGGCTACAAAAACGGTTAGTTCACATATAGTAGCCAAGTAGCATTACACTAATGGTGGTAAAATGCTATGGTCCTTGTAACAGTCTGTTCAGTGTCTGTTAGATGATGGTTCAAATTATCTAACAATTTGCCTACAGGTCAACTTGGACACACAAGTCTTGCCCACAATTGTCACATGGTAGATCCCTTTTTTTAGGAAGGAGAATATTCATATCAGTCTTGCTTTTCATCTACTTATGTTTTATCCTACTACATGGATATTTTAAGAGTGCAGTTTAATTCAATAAAATATTCTGTATATCCTGCCCAGACAAGTTAAATACATGTTGATAAGTACTGTTAGATAAAAAAGACCAGGGTAAGGTAGTTTATAGATGTATTCTGATATTTTTTTTTTAAAGTATTTTTATCTCTTTTCCAAATGTTTCTGGGAAATGGAAAAACAGAGAATTTCATGTTACCTTTGTCTAA